GGTCAGACACCATAATCACTTGGTCACAGGGAACCAGTGGTGGAGAGCTAGTGACCGTACACGGTCAGACACCATAATCACTCGGCCACAGCGAACTAGTGGTGGACAGCTAGTGATCGTACACGGTCAGACACCATAATCACTTGGTCACAGGGAACCAGTGGTGGAGAGCTAGTGACCGTACACGGTCAGACACCATAATTACTCGGCCACAGCGACACTAGTGGTGGTCAGCTAGTGATCGTACACGGTCAGACACCATAATCACTCGGTCACAGCGAACCAGTGGTGGACAGCTAGCGATCGTACACGGTCAGACACCATAATCACTCGGCCACAGCGAACCAGTGGTGGAGAGCTTGTGACCGTACACGGTCAGACACCATAATCACTCGGTCACAATGAAACGGTGATGGAGCGCTAGTGATCGTACACGGTCAGACACCATAATCACTCGGTCACAATGAACCAGTTGTGGAGAGCTAGTGATCATACACGGTCAGACACCATAATCACTCGGTCACAGCGAACCAGTTGTGGAGAGCTAGTGATCGTACACGGTCAGACACCATAATCACTCGGTCACAATGAACCAGTGGGGGAGAGCTAGTGATCGTACACGGTCAGACTCCATAATCACTCGGTCACAATGAAGCAGTGATGGAGCGCTAGTGATCGTACACGGTCAGACACCATAATCACTCGGTCACAGCGAACCAGTTGTGGAGAGCTAGTGGTCGTACACGGTCAGACACCATAATCACTCGGTCACAATGAACCAGTGGTGGAGAGCTAGTGATCGTACACGGTCAGACACCATAATCACTCGGCCACAGTAAACCAGTTATGGAGAGCTAGTGATCGTACACGGTGAGACACCATAGTTACTCGGCCACAATGAAACGGTGATGGGCTGCTACATGTAGTGATTGTACACGGTCAGATGCCTTAACCACTCGGCCACAGTGAAACGATGATGGGCTGCTACATGTAGTGATCGTAGACGGTCAGACACCTTTACCACGCGGACACAGTTACCAGATGTGGACAACTATTGATCGTACACGGTCACACCCCTTGATCACTCGGCCACCGCGAGCCAGTGGTGGAGGGCGAGTGATCGTAGACGGTCACACGCCTTAACCACTCGGCCACCGCGAGCCAGTGGTGGAGGGCGAGTGATCGTACACGGTCAGACGCTTTAGTAGTTTTGGAGGGCTAGTGATCATAGACGGTCAATAGCCATAACCATTCAACCACAGTGGCCATTCTGTTACATTGTAAAAGGGTGTTGATCTCTTTGAACAAATTTAACCTTTACGTATACCTCGGCATTCGTAGGCTAAAGTTATTTTTACACATTGATATATCATTACAATCCTGAAATTATCGTTTCCATATTAAATGACACGAAGAAACGTTAGGCGACAGTTGTAATTTCTAGTCTAGATAATTATGAAATATAATATTACGAACACCTCGTTGATATGAAGTGTGATTTCTGTTATAATATTTTATCCTTATATGTTATATCATTAAGCGAGTTATTATCTTTCGTCACGCATCTTTCCTAATTTAAACAAATAAATGATTGAAAAATGAAATGAGTCAACAGGTGCGGATCAAGAAATTATATAAAAAATGAAGCAAAGTCCGTGCATTGCTCGCCCCCTTTCAACTCGCCCCGGGAAAATATCAAAAGATATAAAAGAATCGCTCTTGTGCGTTCTGGGGCACTATTAGAGTGTTATTTAGCCTGATGATTGATTTTTTAATTTTCAGTTTTGTTCGTTTTTCTTTTATGTCATTTTTTTTCCAAATGGAAACATCTAAAAAAAATGCTTATTTTAGAAAACACTGTCGAGCAAAACGAGGCGATTTTCTTTTCTTTTCGTTCATTTTTTTTCTTTTTCAACAAAATGTATATGCCCATCCCATCCGTAAGAATAACGTTTCACTGAAAATACATAAATATACGAAAATAGATCACTAGTTATTTTTACGATTTAATCAGATATACGGATACAGTAAATAAAACCGACAATGCTATTGCATAAGATCTATATCTATATCCACACTATATCAGATAGTTTCATAATGATTTTTTTTTAATTATTTAAATTATTTTCATTTTATTCAGTACATTGTTCATCTTTTAAATCAGCATACGATAAGCATGGCCGAAAAATAGGATTTTTAAAAGATAATAATTGCGGTAAAATTGTTTATATTTGATAGAATTGACTTTATTTTCTCAGAAACATACACAGTCCATATGTATCACATACTCACTGCCTACTAATGACGTTCAAAAGCCGATTCTAGCCAATAGAAGGTCCACGCTGTTATCAATGATATTTCTTACTCTTAACACGTATAATTTGGAGAGAGAGTTTTTCAAAATCTTGCTTAACATGGGATGTCCTGGGGTAGGAATAATACATGTAGCTTGGTATCAATCAGTATTTACAGTGTGCAGACGTTTGATGCATGAACCTGATTATACATACAATACATACACCCTTCTTTATGGCCATTCTGTTACATTGTGAAAGGGTGCTAAGCTCTTTGAACAAAATAAACCTTTACGTATACCTCGGCATTAGTTGGCTATCCTTATTCTGCAATTACTGATAATGATATAGCATTACAAGTACGGCGTGATATGTTCCATGTTGAATAGGATGAAGTGTTAAGAGGAAGCTGTAATTTTTAATCTAGATAGTTATGAAATATAATATTACTAACACATCGTTGATATCAAGTGTGATTTCTGTTATAATATTTTATCCTTCTATGTTATATCATCAAACGAGTTATTATCTTTCGTCACGCACCTTTTCTAATCTAAAAAAATAAAAGATTGAAAAATGATGTAAGGATAAAATGACAAATCAACAAGTCAACAGGTGCGGATAAAAAAATGAAGAAAAAAAATATAAATAAGGTCTGTGCACTGCTCGCCCCCTTCCAACTTCCCCTCCCCCTACCCCCGGGGAAATATCAAACTTTATATAAAAATCGCTCTTGTGCGTTCTGGGGCACAATTTAGCCTGATGATTGAATTATTTTTATTTTCATTTTTGTTAGTTTTTCTGTTATGGCATTTGTTCCAAATGGAAACAACTACAAACATATGCTGATTTAAAAAAAAAACCACTGTCGAGCAAAGCGGGGCGATTTTGTTTTCTTTCATATTTTTTTAAACAAAATTTATATTGGATATCCGTAAGAATAACGTTTCGCTAAAGATACATGAAATCATGAAAAAAGATCAATAGTTATTTTTACGATTCAATCAGACATACGGATACAGTAAATAAAATCGACAATGCTATAGCATAAGATCTATATCTATATCCACAGTATAACAGACAGTTTCATAATGTTTTTGGGTTTTTTAAATTATTAAAATATTTTAATTTTATTCCATGCATTATTCAACTGTTAAGCAGCATAAGATAAGCACGGCCACAACTATGATTTTTAAAAGATAAAATTTCGGTAAATTGCTGTTTAAAGACATACGGTCATCATTAAGGATTGGGTGTACTCTATTTTTTGTCTATCACTTAACTTGCACGCAATGCAAATGTAGAATTGAAACGATACTGCTCCAGATTTTATAATTCCAAATACTTTGCAAAAAACTATAACTTTTAATCTTACATGCATTTTCATAATATTAACATTAACACCTTCAATGTCGGGAGGTTGGGGAATGTGAGTATTCTTGTAAGTTAAGGATTAAACGTCGAACGGTCTTTATTCCGCGGAAGGATTACGGTAAACACTCTATTTCGGTATCATTGCGCACCAAGAACAACAGGTGACAATGGGCTGTACAAAGTAAATTAATAAAAACTGTTCATATAATAACATGATTCATGTTATGCTAGGTTATGACAGATACTGCGTGGAAGAGAATGCTACGAAGTCACGGGAACAATGAAATATGACGCCACAACCTGTTTTTCCACGAAACAGGCCATACGCAAATAATGATAAGAAACCTTTCATATGCTGCAAACCGTTCTTTTCATAACACAGTTCAGTTTAAAAACGACGGGAGAGGGGGAGGGAGTGTGTATCCATACAAAGGAAATATCAACCCTCGAAGTGAGATTCTTGAGTGTCAAATTCTGGACTTGAAGCAAGCTCTGTGTAAGACAATTTGTAATATCACCCCTTCGGATGAGATTTCCTCGTCATACTTATTTTATTAGTAGGAAAAGATTCTATATATTAATCATCAGTTTATGTTATACAGGAACTTACAAAATATGACATGAGATTATCAATTCATGTCTTCTTTTCTGTAAAATTCAATGAAATCTGCAATATATATTTAAATCAAATAAACGAAAGTTAATTGTTTACTTACTTAACCCATTCACCCCTGAACTTTCCTAATGAACTATTCAAACCTTTGTATTGGAAGAGTTCAAATATGTCTTTAGGGGTGAATGAGTTAAGGTCTTACCTGTTTTGTGTCACTGCGATGATAAATGATGACATTACCTGTCGCGACTGAATATTGTATCAAGGTGATATTGATTTAGGCCAATAAAGGACGAGTAACTTCATGTTAACAACAAATGCCCCACCTTTATGAAATTTGGCGTTATCTGGAGGCACTATTTAAAGTATTGTCATCTTACACAAATTTATCTCAAGTGTCGCCACGTACATATTTACGGGTCAATTAATATATTTACTTACCTGAGTTCCATAACTAGTGATCTTGAGTAATATTCCATTAATTATTTTTTTTAAATACATTCAACATCAGCATCCATATGATTGTTTTATCTGATAGGAATCAAGTTGACTGCTGTGAATACATTTTCATGACCTTTTGTTGACCTTAGCTTTCTCTATATTAGCTGGTTTGGAATGTTATAATAGATTACAGGTATCTAATGTGACATGGAAAACCTTGATGCAAACCAAAGCAAGCGTCTGGTTATGGGGTTTCTCTGAAGGAAGCATCGTAGAGTATGGCGTCTTGTACCTCTCGAAACTTCATGACCAGAACATTTTTCACTCTTGTTTTCACTGGACTTTTTCAGGTAAGTAAAAATAAATTATAGATTTCTATAAAATATCTCTTTTTCAGTTTGATTTTTTCGACAATAGTTTTAAATATTAGTCCATGATCATCATTTTGGAATCATTTAAGATATATCACTATTAGTATTTGATCTTGATGCTTAATCAACGAGTATTTAGTTGAAATAGCGACAATCCTAATTCCATCACATTTTGTCACAGTTTTGGCGGAGCCTACTTGATCTGTAAGGAAATAAGTAATCAAAATATCAAGACTAAAAAGAATAATTATCGTGTTGAAAGTCGTAGAAGACACTTACTCGACCAGAACACTGGGTCGCAATCTTCTTGTAGCTTTGCAATGCTCTCCTATTATACTTTTATTCTTTTAAATAAAAAAAAAATGCGCAGATGAATTTGAAGTAGGTTGCATTTTAGAAACTTTGAAGATAAAATGGATATAAGTCGTATTCAACGCTCACAGGGAAAAAATCAGTAGGATAACGTACTTACAGATATTAAAAGAAAATCACCCTTTTTTTGTTGTAAACAATTAAACGGACTATGCAATCAGGATAAATTATACATTTGACCTCATTAAACGTAATGCGAGTGTGACGTCGACGGGACCTTTGAACTGAAATGTTTCCTCACAATAAACTCTTAGCTACAAGTGATGAAATCTTCAAAAGTTGTGAGTTAACTAAGTAATACATTTTCTTTTTCAGGTACAGCACGCTTTTACGATACTGAAAGGTAGGTGCTCTTCAATGTGCATTGCAGTACTGTTAATGATTGAAATATGCTATTCAAATTAAGGGCACCTGTCACACTGCAGGCAAAATACTAGATGATTCCAGTGTGGTTTTTCGTACATGAAGTGGGCCGCAGTAGTCACGTGGTTAAGGCGTCTGACAATCTGCTTCTACTAGCCCTCCACCATAGCACTGGGTCGCGGGTTCGAGAACTACGTCGGGGCAGTCGCCAGGTACTGGCCATAGGCCAATGTTTTTTCTCCGGCAACTCCGGCTTTCTTCCACCACCAAAACCTGGCACGTCCTTAAATGACCATAGCTGTTAGTAGGATGCAAAACACAGACAAACCAAACATACAGGAATTAACATCCCCTAAACTTTGCTCTAGATATAACTGTATTGGGCCTGAGCCATGAAACAATCGACGACCAGACAGCTCAGATGGTTAGAGCAAAGGTATTGTGATTGCAGGTTCAGTGATCAAATCCCAGTTTGACCCGATGTATTTGTACTCTCAGCAACCATACGTTGTTTTTCGTCTTTATTGATTTTATAAAAGGTCCGCAATGTATGCCTGTAGAAGTTTCCAGTTTGGAGTTACAGTTTCTTGAAGTTGTACGGGGATCACTTCAAAGTAATTTTCTTCTAAAAATAATGTATCTTAAGTTCTTTCATCTAATTTCTGTTTTGATGATCGGACATTAAAATATTACTTATAATAACATGAACACAAATAAATTCAAGCAAAATCTGATTTGCAATAGTGTATCATAGGGAAGAACATATACATTTACAACCATAAGACATGTGTTGATATACAAAACTGATATGAAACATCTATATATCTTTTGCATTTTTTTCTGTTAATTTTGTCATCTATTGTTTTTCTAGAAAATGGCCGTGACCTTTCAATCGACCCAAGCAAGATGTCAGCGATGGATCTTATTGTTATGGCAAACATGGGTAAGTTATGAGTAAATAACATTAAATATTTAAAATTATACAGTAAAATACGTTTCCTCCAAACTAACAATATTAAATTTGCTATTGACAAAATTAGTTCTAGACAAATTTCACTGTAGACCACGTCTTATAGACAACATTCTTTATTAAATGTTAAATTCTTCATCACGAAACGGTGGCCGGGAGGTAATGTGATCACTATTCCTCCACTAATGGGTCGCAGTTTGAAGCCTATATGGGGTAGTCGGCAGGTACTGGCCTCATATCAGTGGTTTTTCTCCGGGCACTCCGATTTTCCCCCACGTCCTTGTACCTTGCACTTCTTAAATGATCATAGATGTTTATAGGACGTAAAGACACACAGACAAACCAAATTGAAATGAATGGAACGTTAAAGGTGAAAAAAAACATATTTCCATTATCATTAATTACAGTAAAAGTAAAACGGTAGTTATATTCTAAATTATATCATTATAATAAACAAAAAACGAAACGTAAGTTCAAATTCATGTATTCCTAAAACTATAGTGATTATGATATCAACGTTTTACTTTCAACACAAACAATGTACGTATTACACGTGCCGCAACGTTTCAAAGACCGATTGGTCCCTATCGATAGGTGAAACGTCCCGGGTCGAGTCATTATAGTTGTTTATGTTTGTTTTCCAGAACAAGAAATTCACCATCTGATCGAGGGAGACATTGTTCCAAGTAGAGTAAGCAGTTATAGTTGTTTCGAATATCCTTTTTTGGCAATAACTTGCATTTTTTCGTGGTCAAAAAGTACATGTACAGAAAGTAAATTGGGAACAAGAAATATTGTACGAAACCTATATGCAACGATATATTATATTAGGACTTAGTAATGGTTATATAATTTCCAACTCACACAATATATCAAGTATTTAACTGTTTCCTTTAATATCACATTCGAAATATGAACACGAAGAAGCCCCTAGACCATCCTTTAAAATCTAGGTTAACATTGACTTCCGTTCCTTGTACCTCTGGCATATTCATGACAACTTGAATGCTTTAAATTTGTTGGCGCCATCTTGTGGATGATACAGTAAACTCGACTAATTTGATTCTCTGGCGTACTGTTACTGGTAAAAATTGAATTAATTATAGTATATCTGAGAAACCAAAGTGCATCAATTTGATATAATTTCAGAAAAGGAACGCTGTTGGAATAGATGCTTGGAAATGGCGAGAACACAAAATTCCGTATACTATCGACGTCAACGGTTTCAGTTAAGTGGACAAAATATCCGTAATAAAATTAAGATTTATTTGCTAAAACAGTTGAAACATTATCATTCCAAAAATGCTGTGATCGAAAATAATTATGAAACAATTAATAGCTACAGATATTTCACTGAAAACAAAACAAAAATAGTTTTCTTCATCCATTAATAAAGAAATACAACATGCAATTTTCATTCATAAAAAATGAAAATATTGAATATACCATATCAGTTTGAGTCAAAATATTTAAGGAAAAAAATGGAAAATATTCCAAAGAATATTAATAGCGCTCATTTTCTTCATTATATTACTGCTCCCGTGTGCATATTATAGATTTCATTTTAATGTTAGGTGCCGATGGACTGAAAGTGATTGACGAGGCTATTGCACAGTTTAATACAGACGTTTCCTGTATTAAATATGTACCACGTGACAAGGAGCAAGACTACGTCAGGATTGTCCATGGTTACGGGTATGGTCATTTCACCTTCTATAATTGACAGGGTTTGATTTTATTTTATTTTACCTTCCTGTAACCTTCATGTTTGATCTTATAAAAATTGATACCTTGATATTTTAATGAATACATTATTATAAAAAATCAATTCATCTCAATTTAACTGAAAAACATTAGATTGACTACACTAGAAAAGCACTTGTATTTATCTATTTTTAAATATTTCAAAACATGTTTATTTTTTGTTTATTGATTTTTATTTTTTTTAAACCCTAACTTTTCTCGTAGTTTTGCTTTCACAAAACGGCATTGTTTTCATTTTTCAGCCATTCGAACAACTATCGAATAAATCGGCATATATGAATGTTAAAGAGAGACATCAGCTTGGTTTTGCCAATTTGCAGCTAGTTCAAATACCATCAAATATTGTTTTTATACAAAACAATGCTTAGCGTTCCTGCTGAGTTATGATACGTCATCTTTAGAAAGTTTTAATGCTTCGGTTTTCAGTTGTCATTCTTCAATAGGCCGGGACGGAGGAAGACAGGATGTGACGTTGGGTGACAACTGTTACTATAAGGGGGTCGTCATGCACGAGCTAACACACGCGGTCGGATTCTTCCACGAGCAGAGTCGATACGACCGAGACAAGTACGTCGAGGTGCGTTGGGAAAACATTATGGACGGTACGTGTCTTCACAGAAAATGTCAATAATCGTATAAAATCATATTCGTCGCCCCTTTTGCCCGGTATAGTTCAAAATAACTTAACTATTCACAGCATAATAACTCGTCCGACTTTTGAGTTGTTTATAAGCATAAACTTAGTATGAAATATAGCAAACAAACCTTAGTTGCAATGTGTTGGATAACATTATGACTAAATTTCTTGTTTAGGGAAAGACCGTGATTTTGTGGCCGAGTCCCGAAACATCCTGAACACTTTGAATGCTCCGTATGACTATGGAAGTATTATGCACTATGGCGCCTACACCTTTTCCAAGAACGGTAACCCTGCCTTAAAAGCTCTCTTTGATGACAAAGGAACAATGGGCCAGCGAGATGGATTCAGTGCCGTTGACATATGGAAAATTAATAAACTTTATTCGTGTACTGGAGGTAAATACAAATACATTATTATTCTATTATGGCCCTTTCCCGAGGGAACTGTTCTCTTATAGTGTCGTCTGGGGAGGTATAGTGCCCGAGCCGTTAGGCGAGGGCACTATACCTACCCAGACGACACTATAAGAGAACTGTTCCCGAGGGAAAGGGTCATAATAGATTTAGTACATCCCATGACTGTCATTCTCTGCCACATGATGGTCCTTGGAAATACTGCCGAAAATCTTGCCTAATGGCAATAAGAGATCTTTTTGAGTAGATCTTCTTTTTTTATTGCGTATATTGGCATCCACCAAAACTCCGTTCAATTCCCACGATTGAATCACCGCTAGATCACATACAGATCCCTGTCTAGCTGTGTCGCCTGCTTCGTCTGTATGCATTGCTGAGCCTCTGCGAAGCAATCAGAATTCCCAGTCCCGAATCGTGAAGCCATTTTGGCAGACGACAACAAGGAAGTGAAAGTAGAATATGTACAGCGCCCCCTAGGAGAAGGGGCACAACTCTTAGCGTTACGCTACTTTTCGCGCAGTCTCAGCGGTCCAAAAAAAAGGTATAGTGCCCGTCTCCAGGTATAGTTCCTGTTGTCAAGGGTGGATGCTAACTATACCAAATAGAACAAGGGTAGTTATCCAATAGCTATCCTAGTAATTATCATGTGATGTACTAAATGTATATGTATAGCAATTCTTTTGTAAGGTTTGTCTTCTTTGTCCAAAGCTTACTGATAATTTGACGAGGACAGTTCATACGGAGGAAAAGCCGAATTAAAATCCTTAATAATGTAAAATATAAATGAGTTATCAGCATACAAAATGTAACTGTGCTCAAGCCATATGCCAGCATATTAATATTATTGGATAAGTATTTGTTCCTTTTTATCTGTTACACTTACGATCTAGCTTTAATAAAATACTCAAACATACTTTAAACGTAAATTTGATAAGGTATGTGTGCTTCTGAATGAAATGACAATCGGTTGCTAAAAATAGGTTATATATTCCAGCCCTTTCTCCATAAAATACAGTATGATTTACACACACAAAACAGGATGTCATTGAAGTGATAATAAAGAAAAACGGTTATTTATATCAGTATTATTCTTTTGCAGGCGATGCCCCTAAACCAAAATGGATGATTGAAGACACAACTTCAACTGTTAGACCTTCAACAGCCAAACTAACAGCCACCACCACCACGACTACAAAGACCACGTCCGCAGCAACTCCGAAAACATCCCCAACTGCTTCGTCGTCAGTTACCATGCCTACGACATCATCTGCCACGCCCATCTCCTCAAGAGCCACGCCCACCAACACTCCAATAAAGCCATGCCAATCTGATCCGTCATGTAAGATGAAATATTGTATTACATATTGTACAAGTAAAAGATCATAGCACTATCAACTAATCAATTTTCGCTTATCACCGTGTTTGGGTTTTCGTTTGTGGTTAATATTTTGAACGTCCTATTAACAGCTGATGTTTTTCAGGACGTGCCTCCACGTGTGTAATGTATGCATGCTTGCGTATATGTGTGCTGGGGGCAGAATGTGTCGATGTCTCTGTCTCATTGCGATATCGCGGGTCTGATGCCGACCTAAGAGTGTTACCTCAATGAAAAACCATCACGAAATCACCCAGCACAGTATTCCATTCAGTCACATTATGATGACAACGGGTAAATCAGCTGTTGCGAAAACCTTGCATACTGTGGTTGAGCAGTAAATTTAAACTACTTTGGTATGTCCCAACCTTGGGACAGAACCCATTGCTTACCCCACTTGTTATCATATATACAGCAGTTTTAGGATTCCCTTTGCAATATTTAACTCCATATTTGTTTTTATTAAAAGGTTGTCCATCGATACCTAAGTCTTACCTCTATACGTATCCCTAATGTTTCATATAACAATGAAAAGTGACTGTTCGGTGTACACAACTTAAACTAAACGTTTTGCTCTTTTAATTTTACAGTACCTGCGGGAATCAGTGGTCCACCAGTCACGTTTGACGCCGTTGTGTTTCAAAACTCCCTGCGTGTCTTCTGGACCAACCCTTGCACGGACCAGTCTGTATCGGTAACTTTCAAACGAAGCATTTATCGTATGAAATATATGATTACTCCGGTAGAGTTGTTTATATATATACCAGAAAACGTAAAAGTTGGAAATCTCCTTGAGATTCACTCTGTAGATTTTGATAACGTGATACGTTATGTTATGGTTTATAATCTTGTCATAATACCAAGAACGACCTTTAAAATCCAAAGGTTCTGATCTCGATGTACCTATCCTCTCAGCACCCTTGGAACATGTCATGCCAGAATCATCGACGACACTGTACGCGCAACTATGCGGATGATTCAAGTTGACGAGTATTGCTATTGCGGTAGCTTGCATTATTCTCTTTGAAACAAAATGACAGGAAGTATAACGTAAAAATTGTATGCCTTTGATTTTGATGTACTTTCTCCCGCAATATTCAAAGGACAAGTATCAGTTTTACGATGGCTCGGTTTTTTTTTATCATATCTGCTTCCACTCAAATGGCTAATTAAGCCTTTGGCATTGTCATAGCATATTCAAAGGGGGAAGAGAAGACATGGTTTTAAAGTGGAACGCTTGGTTTTCGAAGATGATGCGAGCCAGTACAACCGCTTGTAAAACTTAAAACATTTTTAAAGATATGAAAGCGAGAAACAATGAAATGAAATAGATAAAAGAATAAAAATAATATATAATACTGAGAACAGGAGTAATGCTTAACCCTTTCACCCCTATATAACTTAAATAGACTCTACCATGCATTGTACAGTGGTTAAATGGTTCATGGTAGAAATGATGTTTTATAGTCTTTCCTGGGAGTAAATTGAATTTACACAGTTTGTGTGATTTCAGTAGATGGGTTTCACCTATCATAAAGTTTTCACCGTCTCTATTACTATTTTCCTGTAGTCATATTGATTTGAAAATGCATGGCTGTAACACGTTAGTTTGTTACATCATTGTCCATTGTGTCTTTGGTATATAATTGTCCATTGTGTCTTTGGTATATAATTGTCCATTTGGTATCTGGTTTATAATTGTCTATTGGGTCTTAGGTATATAATTGTCCATTGGGTATCTGGTATATAATTGTCCATTGGGTCTTTGGTATATAATTGTCAATTGGGTCTTTGGTACATAATTGTCCATTAGGTATTTGGTATATAATTGTCCATTGGGTCTTTGGTATATAATTGTCCATTGTGTCTTTGGTATATAATTGTCCATTGGGTATCTGGTATATAATTGTCTATTGGGTCTTAGGTATATAATTGTCCATTGGGTCTTTGGTATATAATTGTCCATTGGGTCTTTGGTATATAATTGTCCATTGTGTCTTTGGTATATAATTGTCCATTGGGTATCTGGTATATAATTGTCTATTGGGTCATAGGTATATAATTGTCCATTTGGTCTTTGGTATATAATTGTCCATTGGGTCTTTGGTATATAATTGTCAATTGGGTATTTGGTATATAATTGTCCATTGTGTCTTTGGTATATAATTGTCCATTGTGTCTTTGGTATGTTATTGTCCATTGTGTCTTTGGTATATAATTGTCGATTGTGTCTTTGGTATATAATTGTCCATTGTGTCTTTGGTATGTTATTGTCCATTGTGTCTTTGGTATATAATTGTCCATTGTGTCTTTGGTAAATAATTTTCAATTGGGTCTTGGGTATATAATTGTCCATTGGGTCTTTGGTATTTAATTGTCCATCGGTTTTTTTGTCTGTAGGCTTTCGTACTCACGTACTGGCAGGCAGGTGGACGGAGGATAAAACTTATGATCGACCCTACAAAACTGACCTATTACATCTCAACCCTATATCACCCCGGACGGAAGTTCCATATCACCATAGCAACACTTACAGCAGCAGGGGAAGGTCCGACCTCTGACGTCATTAGCACCTATTCAGGTAGGTCGTGATAAAGATGTATTATTTCATTAATTTGCAGAAATTTTGTCCATAAAATACTTTATTTATTGTCATTGCCTCCGTTTGGGTTCGAACCCAGAACCTATGGCCCCTTGAGTTCATATAGGTATACACTTACAACCTGTATGTACCAACATATATGTATTGACACTGAGAATGTACATGGAATTTGAGGATGTCCATGTATATGAACATTGGAGAAACGATTGAAAAGTGGAAGTGAAATTTAAAATATAGAGTGCGTTTTGGCATTATAAAGGGTTTTCGACAGTGTTGCATAATGAAAATTAGGATCTATGTTAATAGATGAAATGATTGAGTATAAACAATAGGATATGTACTAAGAATTCCTTCAACTTATTGCCAAACCCCTTTATAACGCCAGCAATTATAGGTTTTACTGTACAATATTATATAGAAATATTTAAAAATTAATATTTTATTTGTTATTATTGAATCACCAATTGTAATAATTGTAATACAGAACTAGGACTGCCAATCATAGTAGTCCGCCGGTCAGATATTAATTTGAGGCAAGCACAGAAAATGGTTTATTTTGTCAATTGATACTGGGTGTCTACTTTGACAATTGTTACGTTACTGACACGGGGGTTCATATTGATATAAGATATATGTAATAGCAATCCAGATGTACGTGAACATCAGCGGTTATACTGACTTAAGAATTATAGCAGGACGCTGGATGTGTATATGCTTGTGCAAATGTGTTTCAGCTTGTGGATATGAGATCAGCCTTAAAGACAATGGGACCTTCGACAAGATCCATTCTCCTTACTTCAGTCAGGGTTACTACGAGCCGGATGTTGCATGCCAATGGACTGTCAATGTTCCTCTGGGACAAAGGTTAAAGGTCAAATTTGCTGCCCTTGACCTCGTTACCAGTGATAGATGTGACGGTGACTTCGTGACTGTCAATGACGTCATATTCTGTAACCGTCTCCCCCAGAACGGTTACATTCTGAGCGATAATGCGACCAATAAAATTACGTTTTACTCGAAGGCTGGGCAGGCTAAGAAACAGGGCGGGTTTAAAGTATTTGTCAGCGTTGACGGTGAGTTATCTTAATCATGATAATACAGTAATACCTTGTTATAATGCTACTTTTGCAACTTGGACATTTTGGTATTTGACGATTAATTGTGGGAAAACTTTTTGTGGAATCTAAAGGAAAATAGAAAAGGTGGTCTTGATTGAGGTTTACTGTTATTTTTCTCCCATAATGCATTTCGCCAAATACGTAAAATGCATGCATCATTATACAGCTAACACGAGAAGACAAAACAATCGATCACTTCTTAAACTAAATTTGCTCTGCATTTCCTCCATATAAACTTACAAAACAAAATAGAAAGATTTCATACCATAATTCTCACACAATTCCCATTGGTGTAGTTGTATGAAGTACATGTTCGTGACATCTTGACTAAATCACGTCGTTTTGACCGACGTCACTATATTAAGTGCATTATTGAAGTCACGAAAAAATTCAAACCATACGCATTCCTCGTGGTAACCCATCCGTGCTATCGGATTAAAAACCTAATTGATCAATGTAACTCGCAACAATTTATGTAGTTATGTTATATAAAACGGGAATATCATGATTAAATAGTTGAAATTCAATTGATGATTTTATGTTTATTTCCACAAACTATACGTTTTGGCCGGGAACAGTCGCGTGTACTCGTGACGTTACAAAAACAGGTCCCATTGACAGACAGCGCACAATTTGACTTTGAAATGCGATAACAGATTGGAAATATAAGAAAAACTTAAATTAAAAACGGAAATAGAGTATTTTAATGCCTTCTTTGGAAAGTGATTGTCCTATAATTTTCACAAGATTGCAGATAAATTGAAAAACGCGCGTTAGCCAGTTTAATGCTTAAATACACACTGTAACATTGGCATATTTCAGCACAACTTAACATTCATCTCACTTGGGAAACACATAAAATGGTGACTTCCTGACAGCAAAGCAACTTATCACAAATTAAAACACTGCATTCAGATTATTTACCAATTTCAGGCAAAAAGCCCAAGAATGTCACGGCTGTGTCCATACCTGGGCTAATACAGCTGTTCTGGGAGGCTCCTGAGGGGAAACAGGGAGCCTCGTATCACTACGATCTAAAGTATCGGCTGCTTCCGGACCGTCACGTGTCTGAAATCCGACTGGATTCCCATAGAAACCACTTCCCGATTACAACTGGAACACATTATGGGCGACTGTTTGAAATTAATGTAGCTGCTGTCGATGTTATAAATGGCGTCGACGCGAAAGGTGCAGATTACAAGACGAACATTCGAGCAGGTAATAAAATGTGGTGATAAATTAAACATTAGGAAATAAAATTTTCAAACAGTGTTATTTTTTAAATAGCTTTTTGCGACTACTCAAATTCGCAGTTGTAATACTGAAAAATACTGAACTATTGTGAATGCTTAATTTTGTTGTGGTAATACTGAGAACTGCTTTGTTTTATTTCAGTAAATTTTATTGAAAAATCAAAAGGATTTTATAACACGCTATGCCTATGTTAGGCAAGAGTGCCTATATGCCTATGTTATTTCAAGAATTGCCTTTTGAGTGAATGCTTAAAACTGCTTTGCTGATATTGAAAAGTTCTTATTATTGTAAATGCTTAATTTTGTTGTGGTAATACTGAGAACTGCTTTGTTTTATTTCAGTAAATTTTATTGAAAAATCAAAAGGATTTGACAACACGCTATGCCTAATTTTTGTGAATGCTTAATTTCGCAGTGGTAAAAAAAGGATAAATACTTCATTTTTGGATGCTTAATCCTGCAGTGGCAGCACGCAAAATAACCTTTCTTCGCGAAACCTTAAATTTGCAGTGATAATTGCTCCATTTTTGCGAGTTTCGTAATCAACTTGCTTTGCGTAACGAAATAGTAACGGTTTTCAATTTTACGTCATGTTTGTGTAAGTTAATAAATCAATATGGAATTGTCCATGTCTTATGCGATAGTGCACATGTATTAAGTTCCTTTCCCTTGTGATTAGGGTCAAACGGTTAAACAATACATGGATGTAGGGAATCCATATAACACAAAGAGGGAAAGTTAACCATACTTAAAGCTTTTATTTCTTCATTGTAATTGTAATAATGTCTGCTTAACAACAACGATGACTGTTTACAGTGCGAGAAACTTATTCTGATTTTGTTTTTATCAGGGAACAAAAAGCACGTTTTAACCGCGTAAATCGACTCGATTTATAGTATCATGTAAATTGTAGGTGATGTGAAATAGTTTGTATTCCATTATGTTTTTCTTCAACCCAAACATTTATGACAAGATATAGAAAAGTACCTGTATGATTTCCTAAAATATCATTAGTTTAGGACATCGATAATCTGTGTTGCAGCCTGTGGAAGAAACATCACTGTAGACAGACCAGGGGTCCTGAGAAGTCCTCATTTCCCGAATCCGTATGAACCGGACACGATTTGTGAGTGGAACCTCATCATTGAAGATGGATACGAACTGTCCTTGACCTTCAATGACCTTGACCTTCAGTCGACACCCGACTGCCTCTTTGACTATGTTGAATTTACGGATATCGGAAGATATTGTACCATGTCTGGTCTTTACAACGGTCCCCTCGTGTCAAGGTCAAAGGTTACCAAAGTCAGATTCGTCTCAAATGACGAAACTGAGCTGAAAGGATTTGAATTGCTGTACGCTAAGGTATGTATTATATCGAACAGATACACACTGAACTTCTTTTGGTTTGCATTCATAAGCAATATGAATGCCAACTGGACAAAGGCGAAATTCATGAAAAAGATGTTCATCTTTTGAAAAAATATCAAATTCAGCATTTATTTCAAATAATTGTATGTCAGTTCAATAAATAGAACAGCTATCTTTCATGGAAAAGCGGTATCAAACGTTAAAATGTTGACGTAAAGATAGCATCAACCATCGGGCCATGGAATTTATAGCTAATATGAATGTCGTCGGAATAGTTATATAGCACCAATGTAAATACATTTATAATAAATATTCTTTTTTATGAAACCTAGATTGTTGTATGCTATTGTTACAGATTTTAAAAGACGTTTGTTCCCGAAGTCTGCAAGTTCCGCAGATTCTGCCGAACATTACTGTATCACGGCTAGATAAACAAAAATCGCGTATATCCACACCAATTTTTGGTTATATATGTTGTTGTACGTTCAGAAAAATTATACCTACAAAACATTTTTATTGATATCATTTAAGATAAAAAGGTATTTGCAATATTTCTATACATTCGACAAACTAACGTTTTGAACTTTATAACAAATGATATGTGTCATTAATAACGGTTTTCATTCTTTTTCAGATTTTGATTCCATAACACCGGCATGGAAACGATAGAATTAAGAGTATAATCCCTACACCAACGCATATAGCGGCACAACGAACGAAACGAGTATCGATTTGTTATTGCAATTAAATTGTCTACTTACTACTGCAATGGAGCATCGCTTTGTCTGTAGAAAAAAACCCAGCAATAAATGTTATCTGTATTTTTCTGCTTTCAGTGTCTTTCAAGCCATACCCATTCCGTCGTCTTTCTTTCCCTTTCTCTTTCAATCCACTCCATTTGTACCATAATATAAATCTCTACAATTTCCCTATTTTGTCTCAGGTCGTCCTAAAATATCCACATAACACACTGTCTTTTACTTACTTTATAACTTGTGTCCAATCTCTTTGTTGAAACGTTTCAGGCAATACTAATTATTTAAATTCGATTAAGTACTAATTGACATTCATGGCTACCTAAATGGATGTCTTGTATACGTTCAACGATAACTGAAACTATGTCATTTTGAAGGAGATATCTAAATATGTTGCTCTTTGTCTGCTATCCTTTTGGATAAGCAAACGCTTAAATGAAATGTTGTTTTACATTTGAAATGGATTGATTCAGTTTTTTATCGATTAACTTCTGTGCGACAGAATCATGAGATGATGATTGATGAGGTATCCGTTGTCAACATTGCATATCAAAACAAACGAAACAGACATTGCATTAGGTTGGTTTGGTCTTATTTGGTTTAGCGTACAATAAATAACAAAGGCAATTTAAGGATGTGCATTGTATAAGGACCTGTATTTGTATGCAACATGCATTACATATCATCAGTAATTAAACGTCACTAACAGTTAATTTATGGTTCAAGACACTAAATTTGGTTACTGGTAATAATTGTATTGTTCCAGACACTAAATTTGGTTACTTGTAGTAAAGGAGTAGGGGCGATTAGGACCAAAATTGGCCCAAACCATATCATCATGAATATATGACATTCATAAAAATGTTCTTTCCTTCAAAATTAGAACAGTCGTTACCTAGCAACAGAGCTGTACACATTTATGACGTCATCACGCACGAAATTTTTGGGGGAAATATCGATTTTGTAAACTTCATTTCCTATTGAAGTTTATAAAATAAAATTTTAAATAAAATATGATACTTCAAAATTCTATATTTTCTGGGCCAATTTTGGTCCCTATCGCTCCCTCCTACACCATTATAGTCATATACACTAGAATGGGTTACTAGTAGTAATTTTATGGTTTAAGACACTTTCTACCACAATACGCTGTGTTATTCCACTCTCAAGCATTGTATAAACATGCAGACTGTTGAATAAATATGAGTTATACAACACACATGGTATATGACCTTCCGTAGTTTTGATTGGTCGAGAAGATGAACCTTGACCGGACGATTTTTTTCATGCGCTTTTTGCCGCGTGCTGTTTTGTTTACGTCGTCTGCAAATGTTGGCGACTTCTGTGAGGTTTTGTGATGGGAAAAGGGGGTTATTAAAGCAATACCAAAAGAAGATGATGCTTAAAATTGATCGCTAGTTTCAGGCAAAATTGCTACAGACGCTCGATATCGTTTCGACGCCATGCCGTTGCGTGTCGAGGTGAAACCCAATCAAGTTCTGTAACAGTGTCGTAAAATATTTCGTTCTCCCCATGTCCCGTTATCAATATTTGGAGGGCCTGTCTATGGCGGAACTCTCACTATAAACGTCAACCATAGAACCTCACGAAGAAACGTCCAAGGCCTATGGTGTTGGACATTGACAGCGATTAGTTCGTCTTCATCACTTGGCGGGAGGCAAACTTCGTACGATATGCTTACGCGCATATAGTCCGTGGTTAATTTAAATTAATTAATGCATTATTGGATACTCTCAATATTTAAAATTGTTCATCTATTTAACTTTTTCACTAAGTTGTTGCCGAAACATTAATTTAAAAAAATATTGAGTGACTTTTTACATATGGGTCATATCACTACCCCAGCATTGTCAACAAAAAGTGTGTATGCTATTCAAATCAGGAAATACTCCAGCTGTTTCCGACTGAGATTGTGGTACAAACAGATCACACGACTTGTGGTTGTTGAGTATGGTATTTATTTCACTCTCGTAAGTTAATTTTTAAAAGTAACTTTTGAAAATAACTAACTCGAGTGAAATAAATACCACATTCAACAACCACTAGTTGTGTAACCTCTATATATTTGGTTACAATAGTCAATATATGGTTCAAGTCATTAGATTTGATTACTAGTAGTCTTTTTCTGGTTCCGTACACTAGATTTACATTGAAGTAACTTGTAGTACAAACGTTTAAAAAAACAGGGTACAAACGAGTAATATACACATTGTACAAACGAGTAATATACACAGTGAACAAACGTATAAACGATACAGTGTACAAACGTGTTTAAGTTACAGTGAGAAAACGTGTAATAGATACAATGAACAAACGTGTAATAGATATAAAGTGTACGAACGTTTAAAAGATACAGTGTACAAACGTGTAATACATACAGTGAGAAAACGTGTAATAGATACAGCGTACAAACGTGTAATAGATACAGTGTACAAACGTGTAATACATACAGTGGGAAAACGTGTAATAGATACAGTGTACAAACGAGTAATAGATACAGTGTACAAACGTGTAATAGATACAGTGTACAAACGTGTAATAGATCCAGCGTACAAACGTGTAATACATGCAGTGAGAAAACGTGTAATAGATACAGCGTACAAACGTGTAATATACACATTGTACAAACGAGTAATATACACATTGTACAAACGAGTAATATACACAGTGAACAAACGTATAAACGATACAGTGTACAAACGTGTTTAAGTTACAGTGAGAAAACGTGTAATAGATACAATGAACAAACGTGTAATAGATAAAGTGTACAAACTTGTAATAGATATAAAGTGTACAAACGTTTAAAAGATACAGTGTACAAACGTGTAATACATACAGTGAGAAAACGTGTAATAGATACAGCGTACAAACGTGTAATACATACAGTGAAAAAACGTGTAATAGATACAGTGGACAAACGAGTAATAGATACAGTGTACAAACGTGTAATTGATACAGCGTACAAACGTGTAATACATACAGTGAGAAAACGTGTAATAGATACAGCGTACAAACGTGTAATACATACAGTGAGAAAACGAGTAATAGATACAGTGTACAAACGTGTAATAGACACAGCGTACAAACGTGTAATACATACAGTGAGAAAACGTGTAATAGATACAGTGTACACGCGTGTAATAGATACAGCGTACAAACGTGTAATACATACAGTGAGATTCATTGGCAACACATGCGTGCGTAAACAGAGTTGCTTCCCCTTTCTACACCTTGCCTTTAGTTTTTTTCGTCCGGAAGTAGACTTCCAGTGGGGAAACAGGAAGTGTATCCTTGAAGCAAAGACAATTGTGTTTCAACCCATACATGAACATCTTCATATACCGAAAACAATACCCATGTTTTAATACGTATTTATTTAGGTAAAAACAAATAGACCTTTTGAGTGAAAAAAATCAATCACATACATTTTGATACTAGCAGGCATAAAACGTCGTTCAGAGATTATCATACTATGACGTCACAAGCACGTCACCCTCCATCGGCCTTCATCGGTTTTTTCCGGAAGGATAAAAAATATCCGAAAAATCTTGGAACTGATAGCCGTTGCATTTATCTCTTTGTCGGTGCTTCATGACTTTTTAATTTCAGTTTTTGCCACAGCCACAAAAATTGGTATTACCTCGGTTCCATGCAAAATTCTACAAAAAGTAATCCGAAACGAATTAATGGCTTACCTGGAAGGAAACGAAATATTTACCAAACACCAACATGGCTTCCGTCTAGGAAAATCATGCACCACCCAACTATTAGAAATCCTGGAAGAATGGAACGAGACACTTGACGAGGGGAAAAACGTTGACGTAATTTACCTGGATTTTAGCAAAGCCTTTGACAAAGTGTGCCATAGGCTCCTTATCTACAAACTGGAAAAATGTGGGATCAAAGATCAAATCTTAAACTGGATTAGAGCATTCCTGACAGGACTATCCCAACAAGTCATAATTAATGGAACTTCCTCAGAGAGTCTGCCAGTACTAAGCGGTGTCCCACAAGGGAGTGTACTCGGCCAGTTTTGTTCTTCATAATGATATGCCAGATGTATTAAAGTGTACTACAAAACTATTCGCAGATGACGCAAAAATATCAGCCAACAATTCAACCCCTGAAAATCGAGCTAGACTGCAACAGTGTATCGACAGAATGTGCCAATGGACAGAAAATTGGATGATGAAGCTGAATGTGAAAAATGCAAGCATATAGAAATTGGACAAAAAACCAAGTCGTCCAACTACACGCTGACGCAATATGGAGACACCATCGAAATCACTAAGGTAAATAGTGAAAAAGATCTGGGAGTTCACATCGACGAAAAACTAAATTTTTCCATACATGTCCAAAAAGCAACCAGTAAAGCAAACCAAATTGCAGGAATAGTATTTAGAAGTTTTATATATATGAGCCCAACCATATTTGTAACACTCTACAAAGCTCTTATACGACCCACCTCGGATACGCCTCAACGATGTGGTCACCCCTGTATACCAAGGACAAAATTACAATCGAAAAGGTCCAGCGAAGAGCAACGAAAAGAGTACCAACATTAACTGACAAATCATACGCTGAACGTTTAAGAATCTACCAACCCTGGAATACAGGAGGGAGAGAGCAGACATGGTCAAAGTGTACAGAATCCTTAATAACATCGACAAACTTGATAAGGATAAACTATTCCAACACTGCGACTACAGATCTACAAGCTTAAGGGGGCACTCCTAGAAGCTGTTTAAAAGGCCTTACAAAAAGTAGATCACAGGAAACTTCTTCAGTAATCGCACTATTAAACCATGGAACTCGTTGTCTGAGGAAGTGGTCTCAGCACCGAGCCTAAACTGCTTCACGGAAAGACTAAACAAGTGCTGGAGAAATCACCCGAGGAAATGTAACCCTTCATTTTGGTATTAAGACTGGATCTACCATCCAAATACCATACTTAACATCAAGTGACTCAACTAAAAACAGATGTGGATTGAGTTTTTATGCAAACTTTACAACGGAGTTGTAAACTTTTTTGTTTTTAAAAAATTAAATCATTTTGTTACTAAAGACATTGCTACAATAGGCCTAGTACTGATATGATTGATGACATAATAAGTGCGCAATCGAAAAGTAAGTCGCGAGTGAATCAAATAACAATGATGTATCACCACAAGCTTGAACTAGCTTTCATCGATGCCCCATCAGCCATACAGCAAGTGTTACGCACATGTGTATTGTATCTCAGATGATTACGACTGTGTTGTTCAGTATTTTGATTTAGTAATAATTATATAGCGAAGCGTAAATTTATCAAGTGCGTTATTCTGTTACGTTAGCGCAAGT